CTCATCATTGTTATTTAAATAATAATAGTAAAGACATTGTATGTCTGTCTGAATGGTATCAGGAAACTTTATATATGATATGTCCAAAACTATTTCTCGACACGATACAATAAGAAAATTCATATTACTTCTCGCTTTGATTGTCGGCAAAATAGACTTACAAGGCCTAAGATCAGCTCAAGGTAGAGTGTTACTAAATGAGGTATGAAAGCAGTGAAGAGAGAATGGGACGTGAGCGTAGATTATGAGGATGCAAACAATAGGTAAAGGTTGATCTTAGATTTGTAGAGGTTAAGACTGTAGTGTTCAGGGGAGCATCATCTCGGGAGTCTGATTTATAAAGTAGTGCTTCTTGGAAAGAAGCGATTTGAATTGATAGTTAGGGAGGATAATTAATGGCCTACAAGGCCGCATAAAAGCTTTTGATGGAGAGAGGGGATTGGATAAATCCAAACGAAATGACAGCAATACTCCAGGACCTGTTTCTCACTCGTGTAATAATTGAAAATGGTAGATGGAGTTTAGAAAGAAGCGATCTGAATTGAACTTCCTTCTTTCTACTGAAATGCGAAGGGAATGAAGATGGTTTGCCTCTGTGTTCATGGCATGACGAGTCTTAGCTGTAAAGGTCTGAACTGGTGGATCTACGCAATATAGTTTGTCAGTTAATTTTCTACATGGAATTATAAAGATGAAAACAATAGATAACGTTGATCCTAGACTTGTAGAGGTTAAGATTGTAGTGTTCAGGGGAGCATCATCTTGGGAGTTTGATTTATAAAGCAGTGCTTCTTGGAAAGAAGCGATCTGAATTGAACTTCATTCTTACTAGTGAAATGCGAAGGCAATGAGGAGGGTTCGCCTCTGTGTACATAGCAAGACTAGCCTTAGCCTTTTTAAGGTCTGAACTGTTGGAACTAAGGAATATAGTTTGTCTGGTAAATTTTCACCTGAGAAAGAGTTTGAGTTGGGGAATAGTTAATGGCCTACAAGGCCGCATAAAAGCTTTTGATGGAGAACGGGGATTGGGTAAATCCAGACGAAATATGACAGCAATACTCCATTTTTGATCTGATCTCACTCATGTAATGACTGAACATGGTAGATGGAGTCTGATACCTTCTAGATCAGGGGTTGGCAACCTACGGCACACGTGCCACACGTGGCACGCCAAGCAATTTCCAATGGCACGCAGCCGCAAGTCCGACCCAATAACTACTACAAATCAAAGTAGATATTTAGCTGTTTCAATTTTAATATATACTAATGTCTGTATACTCTATATTAATATATAAAATATAGAACTGGTATATTGACCTTGGCTTGTATAAAAATACTTATGCTGTTGGCACGCTGAATGATTTTAAAAGTCGGCATATTGTTAGCAAAAGGCTGTCGACCCCTGTTTTCGAACAGTATAAAGCACCAATCATTTTTCCAGCATCTTTAACGATGGATTGTATATATGAATTCCGGTTGAAGTCGGGAATGAATGTTAAGTTCCGATCAACGCTCAAAGCAAGGAGCCTCTGGTTGACTCCTTTTATACGAAGTCTGAATATGTCGAAAAACGTGATAACTGCGCAAAAATGTCCAAGGAAGCATCCCCTCAAGAATCTGTTCCACAAAGCAGCAGCTCTTGCAAAAGAAGCTTTCCAAATAAAACTTCCTTCTAACGAATGAAATACAAAGGGAATGAGGATGGTCACTCCTATATACGTCACATGGTGGGTGTAAGATGTAAAGGTCTGAACTGGTTGCACTAGCTTATCAAAAGAGTTTCCATGGAAAAAGCGATAAGTTTGTGACGATCCATTTATGGGAGAGGGGTTGTAAGTGGAAAATATTTAATTCTGTACGCGGCTGTGTAAATCCATTTGAACTTTGTCGGGGTTGTAGGATGAGGATTAGTCAGCTCCAACCATATGGCAGAAATTCTCCGTTTTTGATCTGGTCCCACTCATTAATGATTGACATGGCAGGTGGAGTTTTGGTACCTTCGAGAGCAATATAAGGAGCCAATTATTTTTTCTCGCGACCTTCATCGGACAAAGAGTGGTTATCTCTACATATTATTAAAAGGAATTAATTTTGTCTTATTTTCCTATGTTTAACCATTGTCTTCTTGGACTTGTGGAGAAAGTATTCTTCTGCTTAAAGGGCAATAAAACAATTAGGATTGTTCAGAGAAAGGACGAAGGAAGGAGGCCTTAATTCTTTTTATGACCCCTGTATCTTTTTAGACCTATCTCCATTTTTGTGTGTATTGTGTGCGCGTGTATTTTCTTAGTATGTGTACGCATATATATATATATATATATATATATATATATATATATATATATATATATATATATATATACATTTCATTAAATAATATAGACAATTGTTGTCTATTTATTTTATGTAAACTCTTTTCATAACGTCTTACATTATAATTGAACGAAGAAAGAAATTCACAATATTGATCCATATTTATTTTTAATGCAATCTAAGCTTTTGGCTTACATAAGCCATTATCATTGGAATGAAAACTCTAACATTTTTAGGCATTTAAAACAACATGCCTGCCCGCACACACAATTCCGTAAAATACTTGTTGAAAACACAATTATACTTCGACATGAAAACAATAGACAAAAACTAAAAATCCTTGAATCATTATACATTAAACAGTTGAAACCCAACCTAAACAAAATCAACTATGGAATCTCTAAAAATATCCTTAAATGTCTGTAGTTGGTTACGGAGGCCATTGGTTTGTGCCAACGGCTTTCCATACTTCATACTTCCACAATTCACTCTCGCGTGGTCATGTGTGACGTCATGAGATGCGGTGTGATTTTCGCTTCTAGCGTCTTATATGCATGTGTTTATCGTTGCTTAGAGATCATCTATGTAAACATTCACAGACTGCCATCACTGTCTTGTCCGTATATTGCTTAATATGTTGTAACTGACATCTTTGATAATGGCTTATGTAAGCCGAAAGCTTAGAATGTATTAAAAAAAATATATGGATCAATATTGTGAATTTCTTTCTTCGTTCAATTACTATGTTATTAAACTTATTAGACGTTATGAAAAGAGTTTACATAAAATAAATAGACAACACTTGTCTATATTATTTAATGAAACGTGTATAAATGAAAAGATGCTTGCCTAAATATATATATATATATATATATATATATATATATATATATATATATATATATATATATATATATATATATCAATTAATTAATTCCGCCTCTTAGTTTCACGAGGTTTTCATAAAGAGTGCAGATAATTTCCAAGATTCTAACGGCTTCATATTTTATTGTCTCTGAGGCAAAATTAGTTCTGATTTAATTTTTTTTATTTTAATAAAATCAGGAAAAATCATATGATTTTGCTCCTAAGCCTTTAGAATTTGCAACCCAGAATTCATTGATGAAGAACAGTAGTACGTTGGAAAAAAAACGTTTTGACTTCTTCACTATGTACATCATTTAATCCTTAACGTTAAAAAACAGCATATTAAGTCTACAAGTTCAAAAAATAATCACCACCAGAAATACTTCCAAAAACAAACACAAAATTCATAATTCTATCCTCCAAACAATCTATTAACAAAATCTGAAAATAATTAGTTACCTCCAAAACTAAGATCTTTATCGCCACTTCCAAAACAATTGGAGATATAGTTATGAAAAAAATAGATCCAACACTACATCAGATTTATGACATAAAACTTCTACAATGTATAAAAAGTTACATTGGCGAAACATCTAGCAATCTCAAAAACATTAGAGAGTGTTGGGACAACACTTTAAACTTGCTCGCAATACACAGAAACAAAACAAACAATAGTTTCGCTTTTATAAATGTCATCCGAATTTGAAAAAAAAAACATAATTCTTCAAGAAATACTTCCTGATGAATATTTTACAATCTATAAATACACGTTAAACACACTTTATTATATCAAAATTTTTATAAATCCATACTTAAAGTGTCTAATATATTTCTATCTGCTACTACAACCGGTGTAACTTAAATGACGCAAAATCACCCAGAACGTCCCCAAATCAACACCAAACATGGATAAAAAGGCTTACTAGACGCACACACGCACTAGAGTTGGAGATTCGTCTTCAGCTATGTTGGTTAAACTCTCTGCCTCCGGGAAGAGAGGATCCCCAGACAAGGCTATGTCGAAGAGCAGAGTCTCGTCTCGGGAAACAGCTACCCGACTCCGTTTTATACGGGGTATACGGGGAATTTTTGGCCGATCCTACGGGCTCGGATACCCCATATTAAATTCGGCCTTGTGCCGCATCAGATCACGTCGGGTGGTTGGTAGATACCCTAGACGCACGCGCGCGCACACACACACACACACACAAATGAATATATGTTATAATCCCGCATAGAGAAAGTAGAATTATGATACAAATACACACATCAATTATACACACGAACGCTACTTGACAAGACAGAAGCACGTGGCGTCTACTTAACCAATGAAAAGAAAAACAATACAATTCTCTGGTGAATCTTTAATAAAAGAAAAACATTTTAGATTTATAAACGTTATCTATTTGTTCCTCATTCTATCATAATGTCGGACTCCAATCCATATTTGTTCTGTTTTTGATCCCAATTCATACACACACACACGCACACACACATGCACACACACATATATATATATATGTGTGTATGTTTGTGTGATATTCGCTAAAATTAGCTTAGTTTAGTACTAGAGATATGTTCAGAACTAGGGGAAATAGTAAGATTATGTAACGCCAATCTATATTATTCACCTGACTTGAAAATAACCATTCAGAATTTAGAAATTATCTGAATTGGAGCGCTAAAAACAAGTTAATACACAACTCAACGAAACGACAAGCTATTTAATGCTTATTATCAAGACAGTCAAGCTTCTAACCACTACCATGAAAATTTAATTCAGGAGAAGGGCTACCTTTTCTTTTTATTTGGCCCTGTGTCTAAATCCAAAGACAGAAATTAGCAGACACATAGAGCGAGTGACAGATAAAGCGAGACTGACATAGATAGATACATAGATCTGAACAGGCCGATATATATATATATATATATATATATATATATAGATAGATATATAGATAGATAGATAGAGAAAGAGAGAGAGAGAGAGAGAGAGAGAGAGAGAGATGAAAATGCTGAGAGATAGGATGAGATAGATAGATAGATAGATAGATAGATAGATAGATAGATAGATAGAGATATGAACAGGCTGAGAGATAGATAAATATGAATAAGAGATAGATAGATAGATAGATAGATAGATAGATAGATGATAGATATGAACAGGCTGAGATAGATAAATAGATAGAAGATAGATAGATAGATAGATAAATATGAACAGGCTGAGAGATAGATAAATATGAATAAAGTGTGATAGATAGATAGATAGATAGATAGATAGATAGATAGATAGATAGATAGATATGAACAGGCTGACAGATAGATAAATATGAATAAAGTGTGATAGATAGATAGATAGATAGATAGATAGATAGATAGATAGATAGATATGAACAGGCTGACAGATAGATAAATATGAATAAAGTGTGATAGATAGATAGATAGATAGATAGATATGAACAGGCTGACAGATAGATAAATATGAATAAAGTGTGATAGATAGATAGATAGATAGATAGATAGATAGATAGATAGATAGATAGATAGATCGATAGATAGATAATATACTGAGAGCACACCTACGATTTTTTACGTATTTTAATATCTATTATACGTAAACAATCACAATCATCCTGGCTTCGTTTGTGGTATTAGTCGTTCCACCCCCACCTCACCCCTACATCTGCTAAAGTCTTTTTTTTTTTCTCGCAGACTTCCTTTCCAAATCAGAAAATTCACTTACCGTTGCCTTGAAGACAGCAAAGGGAAAAGAAACGCCATCATGTTCCCTTGAGGAATCCTGAACACGTCGGTGTAGGCACATTGAAAAATCATTTACCACAGGCGGCACTCTCAGATGTGGAAAATGGTTTTGCGCAGCCCCGGCGGGTGGGTCCTCTATCCGAGCTGGGGGACTGGACGCGTTCGGTCGGGTATGGAAGTTGATTATGAATTCCTCTGCGGTGGGTCTGATAGGCATGGTGAGTTCTTCAGCTTGAATCAGGTGGTCACACCTGCAGCTCTCGTTAAAAAGTTTTATTCCGATTAGCGATATACACAAGAGTATCACTGTCAATGGAGATGCGACTACTCTACCTTCTTCTTCTTCTTCTTCTTCTTCTTCTTCTTCTTCTTCTTCTTCTTCTTTGTGCTGTGTCCTTTTAGGACGTGGGCGATTATGTTTCTGTCTGCCATCAGTTGGAAATAAATTAACTTCTTTCGAAGGAGGTTCGACTTTCGTTTCTGATATTTTATTCTCCAGCGGTTAATCTCCGGACAAAATCATCCACGCTAAGGAAATATGTTTAAGCTCGACTGTTTTATCCAAAATAAATTCATATGAAAAAAAAATAGTGATAGAAACAAAAAAGACTTGGATATTCATACGACGGAATTCAATTTCTTTTCTGCTTGAAGATTATGTGACCGACAGCAAATAAACAATTTCTCCATCTTCCAGATCAAATTTTCCACTTCTGAACTTAGCAAACCACTTAATCACAGTACTCTCAGCTATGGCACCATCTTCATAAATGGCACATATCTTCTTTGCTCTTTGTACAGCGGTTTTTTTTCTTTTCCGGAAATAATAGAGACGCGAAAGACTTAAATACATCCCATTATCTTTTCTTTTCCTTTCCAATGTAAAACATAATGTAAAATATACGTATTCAGAAAGATGAAATGTCATCTGGTTTCGTTTGTATATTTCTTATTAATAACGAATATACAAACGAAACCTGTTGACATTTCATCTTTCTGAATACGTATATTTCTCATAAATTTCAGTCACGTATGAAACGAAATCACATGTTCAAATGATTGTTGTTGCTATTCTTCTTCTTCATCTTCTTCTGCTTCTTTTCTTCTTCCTCTTCTTCATCCTCCTCCTCCTCCTCCTCCTCTTCTTCTTCTTCTTCTTCTTCTGCGTCTTATTCTTTCTGTCTTCTTCTTTTATCATTCCCCTTCCTTTTCTTCTACCCTTTTCCTCCTCCTCCTCCTCCTCCATCTTCTTCTTCTTCCTCCTCCTCTTCTTCTTCTTTCCTTCCTTCTTCTTTTATCCTTCCCCCTCCTTCTTCTTCATCTTCTATCCTTCGCTCTTTTTCTTCTTCTTCTTCTATCCTTCTTCCTCTTTCTCCTCCTCCTCCTCCTTCTTCTTCTTCTTTGTGTAGTGCCTCTTATATGACGTGGGTGATCATGGCTCTACACAAACTCCTGCCCCTTGTAGCCCTTAGCAATATTTGTCTCCTTGCGAAACCTCTCATGTCCAACTCCGCTACCCATTCATCCAAGCTCTTCAGGTAGCTGACCCAATGTCTTCCCCTGACCCTTTGGCATTGATACGCCCCGTAAATGTCAAATTCCTCAAGCCCTTCTTTTTCATTATCTGTGTCTTTTTCTGATTCCTTTTGGTCTACTTTTTCCTTAAGTCTTCTTCGGTGTATACGGACTCAGTCCATGGAATTCTCAGCATCCTTCTGTAAAAAAAAACATTTCTGTTACCTCTGTGAGGAGATTATCCCGTATTCACTGCCATATAGGAGAATTGTTATTATCTAATAGTTCAGCGCTCTTTTCTTTGTTTCTAGCGAAATTTTCCTGTTTCATAATATTTTGCTTAGCTTTTAGAAGGCAACGAATACATTCTGCGCATCGCGTTAGAGAATTTTCAGCCAAATTCTCAGAATCTGACGAAACATGATTTTGTTTTTAAGAAGTTCTTGGTTGGACAGGGAACTTTTCAGCACCACTTTATATATTAGGTATTTTCAACTAAATCCACAGGCCTTTATTCGGATCTCAACTCACATTAATTTTCAAGACAGCTTAGCTTAGTTCGAAATTGGCGTGATACATTCTTCTGTTTGCTTTTGTACTTTGCAAAGCTGTACTTGGTAAAAAAAAAAAAAAAAAACGAATAAAAAAAAATATTCATGGTAATAAAATAATCGCTCGATAAATCTACGTGGCTGTCGCTTGAAGAAAATAAGTTTTACTTGAATGTTAAAGCTATTTTTCTTTTTCTTTCCACGTAAACAATTTAGCATTCTGCCTGCTATAAAACAAGTTGTGTTACTATAAAAGCAAAAGCAACAACGGCGCGTTTGCCTAGTAAAAATACGGGAATGACGTGACAATATGTGTTTCTCCGAAATGGGGGGAAAAAAAGGCCATCAATACGCAACGTACTCATGAACGATAACCCTGGAGTAAAAGACGGACGGTGGGAAAATTTTGTTTGAACAGAGAAAGAGAAGACAGGGGAAGGAAAAGGTGAGAAAGATAGAGAATAAAGAAAAGGATGAAAAAATAAACAATGAAAAAATACTGAGTAAGAAAAAAATGTTATTAATAAAGAGAATAAAAACAGATTTAAAAAGAGAGAAAAAAACAGGATTCTGAAGAAAAAACAAGAAGAAATCTGTAGAGTGAAAAAGAAAGAGTTGACGGGTGGCGTTCAAGGATCTTTTCTATTAATGCACCCCCCCCAAATCAAAAAGAATTTATATTTACTAAAATTTACACCAAATTCTCCCAGAGCGATATCCTTCCATTGCACTCCGGTTGAGTTGACCTTTGCGATTGCTCCAAATGTGGGCGACTCTGGAGCGCTATTTCTAAGCGTGGGGTCTGCGTTCGCGCTCACTCCGATAAACAAATCAAAAACAGATTTTTTTTCTCTTTTTTTTTTTTAAAAAATTGTAAAAAAAATCCTTGCAAGTACTTCGAATATCATCTGCACTTATGAAATGTGAATAACTCCTTTTTTGCTAATTTTTCATTCTGAGGGTTGGAGTTGTTGCGAAGCAAGCTATACAAACTTTGATTTAAAACTTATAATTTCTTGGGGAGAATTAATATTTGCGATAAGTAATTTTACATTATTTGGGGTGACTTAACAGAAGAGACCCGAGTTCAAATTTAAAATAGGGACAGAAGAAAATAAAAATGATGAGATTCAAGAAAAGTGGAGGCTTTTGGCCGTATAACGTTGAAACACCGGTTCTCGTATGATCATCGAAGTTAAGCAACGTCGACCCTAGTCAATAAGCGTTTAGGAATAACAGATGTTGCACGCATTGATGTGCAGGTGGTGTAATGGATAACGGCTCAAAATCGAAGTGCCAAGTTCCAATTCAGTCGGGTTCATTATATACACTAATTTCACGCAAATATCTTTGGGGTTGGTATGAATAACCCCATAACTAGAGTAGGACTTGCATCAGTAAATCACTATTATCTCAGAAGATTGTTACAATCTAAAAATATTTTCTGGCTTTAAATAACAAAGGGTTGATAAACCATTAAAATAAAAATCAGTCAAGGTAAGAAGAATAGTAAGATTAAGCCTTTGAGCCCTGAACACTGCTTTACCGGTGGTAGAGTCACCAGTTGAACAGTGGGTAAACACTTGTAACTATTTTTATATCTACCGTGAAACATTACATACTAATTATTTGTGAATTTTGACCCAGGAGCTCAGGCAGAAGAGTTAGAATTGTTCAGGAAAACAGGGCTCAAAGGGTTAAGAGAATAGTAATTTGTCCAATTTTGTAGTTTTATTTCTTATTTATTGATTACTTTCTATTATTGTCATCGAATAAGTCGAAGTGATATATTTAATAACGAACTCTTCACTCCGAGATCCAGTGAAAAATATATATGGTCATTCTTTGTCATGGTAGAAGACTTATTTCTCCTAGTGATCCCAGGAGCAAAGCCGTCTCTTGTAAAGTCAAGGTGAGATCGAATCGAGGCGACCAGACTGAACGCGACTAACCCCAACGACCGAACAGGCAAAGATCTACGCTAACACAACGGCCGGCCAAACCAGCGGAAGAGGGCAGCGCCATTCGGATAAGCAGACCAAGCATCCGACAACTCGATGCAAACTGTTTTGTCAGATCTCGCCTGCCTCAAACCACATTTGAGCCACGAAGGAGGTGCTTCTGGCTCAGCTTCACCAATGAGCAGAGTTGTCCAGCGAAATCATATTCACGCCAATGGCATCGTCAAACTCTCATTGATTCACAGACATCTCTGCCACTGCAACCAGGGAAGAGAAATGGAATAGGGAGAGAGGATGAAGATCCTGATGCTCAAATGCGACTGGGTGTCGACGACGATAGTTTGTTTCTGAACGATATATGACAGAATAACCAGACCAGATATTGTAACAATATTCAATTTACAGTCAAAATATAGACTTATAAAAGTGCATGACAGTTTCGGGTGAAAAAATGTCTAGCAACACACAGTGAACAGCACTTGCCTCGTAGGAGACTCAGCAATTCCCTCGATGTAATCATTCCATTTCATGTCAGTGGTAAATGTTAAACCGAGAATGAGTTACTCTCTTGGAGATTAATATCAGTCAAATTGATGGAAGGCAAAAAAAAAAAGTTTTTCAAAGTCGATTAAAAAAAATCAATATGTGTCTATATTTTTGAGATGAGGTATTTTAACTATTTAAGCTATTAACATCGTTCGGACTGCCATCCTTATCTTTATTGTCATATTCATGGCGTTAGATATATTAATAGATAGATGAAGACAATGAGATAGATGAAGACACAGATAGATAGATAGATAGATAGATAGATAGATAGATAGATAGATATTAGGTTGGTGCATAATTATCAGGCGTTTTTGTAGACGAGTTATTTGTTAATAAAAATTGCTGTTTTTGTTACGTTTTTTATCAAAATATTATTTTATTTTCAGGTTATAAAAATGTGTGTCAATTATACTCATTTAAAAATGTTATTGTTGAAGTGTAATGCTTCTTTTTCATAATATATATTGTTTAAAAACGCCTGATAATTATGCACCGACCTAATATTTTGTACATAACACTTTCAGACTAAAGGTATATTTTTTTTAGATATATAGTTTGTAGATCATAGAATTGTTGGTAATATCTTTCTTAAATAAATTGCTGGGAATATCGCTGCAAAAATGTATTTTTTTAAAGCATTT